GACGGCCGGCGTGGCCACCGCAGGCCCAGTGCTGAGGGCTGACGGCCTGTGTGCTCACAGCCTGAGGGCTGCAACCCTCCCACAGCTGGTTCCACGGCCCAGGGCCACGATACCAGTGTCCGAGCCTCCGCCTGGGCACTGAGGAGCAGGCGATAAAGCCCACAAAACGCTTCCTGACCTCGGGAAACGGGCTGCCTCCCGGGACAAATTCACAGGCATTAGCATTAGTCAGAAAAGTGTTTGGAGAGACCAAGTGACTCGCTCGAGCTCCCGTGGACAGTAATTTGTGGAGTGAAGCCGAGGGTGCTTCCAGGAAACTGAAGGACCGAGTCACGTTCCTAACAGAGCTGCACAGAGGCAAATAGTGCCTTTAGGCCAGCGGTTCTCAACCTGTGGGTCGCGACCCCTTTGGGGATCGAACGACCCTTTCACAGGGGTCGCCTAAGACCATCCTGCATATCAGATATTTACATGACGATTCACAACAGTAGCAAAATTACAGTTATGAAGTAGCAACGAAAATAATCTTACGGTTGGGGTCACCACAACATGAGGAACTGTATTAAAGGGTCGTGGCATCAGGAAGGTTGAGAACCACTGCTTTAGGGGATCAGGTAATCACGCTGTTAAGCCAGAAGCCTCTCAGAACTCTGGTAATGCTTATAAATGACCATCACACAGCCGTGCACACACGTCAGCCTCCCCACCCTCCGTGGGCTCCCAGCCACGGGGACCAGGCGCTCAGCAGGTTCTCTCTATAAGGCTCCAGGCTCGTGCGGAGCAATAGGCAGGTTTCTCTGTCCCTGGCTGAGTGATGATGCAGCCCACCCTGCATCTTTCTAAATGGCATTATTAAAATCTTAACACATTCATGCCGCTCAGGAGTGTTCTTGTGTTTCATGCGCCATCTGTTAGGACCGCTCACGAGTGTTCTCGTCTTTCACGCCCATGGAAAAAGGAGCAGATCTAGATACTTATGTAAATTTTGTTTGGTCCCTCTTCATAGAGGAAAATGTTCTACGCAGTACCATATGTTAAAAAAGTACTAGGAACTTTAATTGTTTAATTGTTTTTGTAAATAAAAGTGTTATAATTATTGAAAAACAATGCCTAAAGGCATTATGATGATTTAAATAACGTGCAGTTTGCCCAAAATCGTGAGGTCCCTGGCGTATGTCTTAGGGATTTCTATGCGGTACGCAATGTGTTAAAAGGAAAACCACGACATCAAGCGTTTAGTATGGCTCTCTCCCTAAAACACGCAAGGTGCCCTGTATCGTGGGAACAAGCTGCGTCTGCCTACGAGGTAAGAACGGGGAGTCCCTTCTGCTTCCCCTCACAGAGTCACGGGGAGAAAAAGCCGGCACGGGGTGTGACGGGGGCTGAGGAGGTGAGAGAGGAAGATCTCTCGTCCCTCTCCAGGAACTAGGCACTGGGCAGTCACCTCAGACTTCGAGGACATTAGCAGGAGCCCCCCAAACAGAGGCGCATGCTGGACGCTGTCTACCGGGGCCCGTGCGCCACCCCCCAGTCCTGAACCTGAGCCACTTCTAACTGTGAGTACGGTGCACGCTCAGACCGCCCCTTCAGAAGAGCGGGAGCATTTCGTCCCCACGCTTCTCAGGAATCCTCCATGTTCTTCGGCTTCGCGGGGAGGGGAAAGGAGAAACAGAGCAGAGGGGCTCTGAGCCCTGATTTCTCACACACCAGGGAGCCCCAGCGAGAGCGTGTGGAAGTGTCCAGCAGATGGCACTGCAGGAGCGGAGGAGAGCCGGGAGCCGCGCTGGTGGAGGGAGCCGGTCCATCCTTGCTGTTTCAAGGGACCTGGCATATATGGCATACTGTTCTTAATATGTTTGCTCACCTTCTTGGCACTATGTGTTTTAACCAAGGTCACCTCTCTGAGAAAGGTTGTTTCCCCAGGTAGGGATTTTCCCCTGAAGTTAGGGAGGGAATAAAACCCCTTCACTAAGTGCCAGGCGGGTAATTAATCACTAACTACGAACAATCATGCTTAAGCTACATAATCTTTACTCCCTGGAATGGAGATAAGAAACGCCCTAACCTTTGGAATAGAGATTGATAGGCTTGGAATCAACTGGTATAAATACAGACATAAGAAGACAACAGGAGACAACTTAGATGAAGATCCTAGAGACAGAACTTAGAAGACAGAACCTACACAGAATCTAGAGACAGAAGAACTTCGCTGGAGAGAACATGGCAAAAGATCCTGGACAGAACCTGGCTACAGAACTTGGTTGGAGAACCTAGACAGAACCTGGCT